TTTTAAACCATGCAGTGCCCCCTTGTTCTGTTTGAATGACTGCCTCTGGTCTGTGTACATGTTCCCCATGAGCACAATTAAGTGTTCTGGAATTCCTGTTCTTCACAATGTTAACCGTATTTTGTTATGATCTACACAGTTGAATGCCTTTGTGTAGTCAGTAAAATACAGGTTAACATCTTTCAGGTGTCCTTTACCTTCAGCCAGGACCCATCTGACATCAGCAGTGCTGTCCCTCGTTCACAGCCTCTTCTGAATTCAGCTTGAATTTCTGGCAGTTCCCTGCTGCAACCATTTTTGAATTATCTTGAGCAAAATTTTACTTGACTGTGATATTACTGATGTGGTTCAATATTTTCCACATTCTGTTGGATCACCTTTCTTTGGAATGGGCACAAATATGAATCTTTCCCAGTTGATTGGACAGGAACTATCTTCCAACTTGGCATAAATGACTGAGTGCCTCCAGCACTTCATCCATTTGTTGAAACATCTCAGTGGGTTTTCTGTCAATTCTTAGAGCCTTATTTTTTCACCAATTCCTTCAGTGCAACTTGGACTTCTTTCTTCAGTACCATTGGTTCTTGATCATATGCTACCTCCTGAAATGTTTGAACATCTTTTGTTATGGGTGCCTTCGTATTTTCTACTTCAGACTGAGTTGGTTTAGGTAGTGCTAAAGGGGCAAACAGGCTGCATCTTCTGACCTCCTCTGACTCCACAAGAAGAAGACAGAATCACCATCAATAGCCCAAGGCCTATTCTTGCAAGGCCAGACATGCTGCCTCCGGAACAGACAGCAGTTCCTCCTGTGGCACCCACCACCTCATTGCTGGGTTTGATAATTCGTTGCAGTGGCCACACAGAACTCACAGATTATGGGGTTTACTAGGGAAGCACCAAACTACAATTCATGTTCAGAAATGCACTCAATCTCTTGCAGCTAGCCGTCTTACTCAGCAGCCGGCAGTCTCAGTAGCACATCACTCTCAGTAGTGTGTGTCTGTCACGTCTCTCTCAGGAGCATGTTTCTCTCAGCAGCACTTTCTCAGCCAGCAGTCAGAGAGACTCCTTTCGCCTCTAGGAGGACTCCTTTTGAGCCTGGCAGAGTGGCCCAAACCAACCAATTCCAACATCAGAATTCTACACACCTGAGACCGAACTTCCCAGAAAATTACTTCGTGCTGCTCCCAACAGAAATACACCAGGTGGATAGCTTTAACAGTCAGGAGCTACTCAGTTGCTCACAGCAAATTCCACCACTGGAGTTTACAAAGACTTATGGCTAGAAAAGCCACACTATGTGATTTACTACACCACAGGTAGGTTAGTGTGTTTCTAGAAATCTGTCCATTTCTAGGTTTTCAAATTTATTTTAATGCAGTTTTTCATAGTTTCCTGATACTATCCTTTTTATTTTGGTTGGTTCTGTTGTGATATTGCCCATTGTCTTTCTTATTTGTATTATTTGCATCTTCTTCTTTACCTTTATTAAATTTCCCAGAGGTTTGTCAATTAATCTTTTCAAAGAATCAACTTCTAGTCTTTTTGACTCTTCCTGTTGTTTTTCTGTTTTTGTTTATTGCTGGTCAAATCTTTATTACTTCTTTTCTTCTGGAGAGTGTAGCCTTCCCCCCCAACCCTTTTTCTAATGGTTGGATATTTGGGGTTAAGGTGTTGATTTTGGCTCTTTTCTTTTTTAATGTCTGCACTTACTGCTATAAATTGCCCTCTATCATTGTGTTTTATTATGTCCCAAATTTTGATATATTTCTGTCTGATTTTATTCAAGGAACTTTTTTATTTATTCTATTACCCAGTAGTTTTTAAGGAGATGCTATTCATTTAAGGAGCTCTGGTGGCACAGTACCTAAGGTATTTGACTGCTAACCAAAAGGTTGGCTGTTCAAACCCATCAGTCACTATGCAGAAGGAAGATGGGACGGTCTACTTCTGTAAAGATTTGCTGCCTCGGAAACCAAGTGGGGAGTGCTGTGTGTGAGTCAGAATCAACTTAATGGCAGTGGGTTTAGTTTTTTTGGTTTTGGTTATTCAGTTTCCATATGTTTGCTTTTTTCCCCCTTGATCTTCCTATTGTTAATTTCCAATTTTAAAGCATTGTGATCTGAAAAGATGCTTTGTAGTGTTTGGATGTTTTTAAATTTATTGAGGCTGCTTTGTGGCATAACACACAGTCTGTTCTGAAGAATGTTCCATGTGTGCTGGAAAAGCATGTATTGTTTAGTTCTTCTGTGTCTTTGTTAGAGTTTCTTTCTAGTTGTTCTATCCTTCGCTGAAAGTGGTGTATAAAGTCTACTATTACTGTGGAGTTTTCTGTTTCTCTTCAATTCTGTTAAAGTTTGATTTATGTGTTTTAGGGCTCTTTCATTGAGTATGTAAATAATTATTGTGGTTATGTCCTCATGTTTGATTGACCTTTAATCATTATATAATGTCTCTCCTTGTCTCTTATGGTGGTTTTTATCTTAAAGTCTATTCTATTGGAAATTAATATTGCTATTGCTGCTCTTTTTTGCTTGCCATTTGGTTGATACATTTTTTTTTCTTTCCAAGCCTTGATTGTTAGTCTGTTACTATCTTTGTGTCTAAGGTGTTACTTTTGTAGACAGCTTATTGATAGGTCATGTTTTCTTACCATTCTGCAACTTTCTGTCTCTTGATTGGTACATTTAATCCATTTACATTCAGTCTAATAACCAAGAAGTATGAATTCATTAATGTAATTTTGTTACTTTTTTCTGTGTAGTGTTATTTCTTTGTTTCATACAATTATCTGTGCTGAGTTCATTTTGTTTATGATTTTTTTAAAATAATTTCCTTTGTTGCTATTTTTAATATTTGCTAAATATTTATGCCATTCCTCTTTTTTATTTTGATGAGAAGATTCATTAATTTTCTTTGAGGTTACCCTGTGATTTATTAATTCCTTCCCAAGCTTAAAACACCCTGTTCTATCTTGTAATCATTTTGACTTCCTCTCCATTTGGAAGTTCTGTACCTATACTATTTATTCACTCTTTTTGGTTTTTAGTTGTCCTCATTTACCAATTGATGTTTCTGGTTCCCTGTTTACAGTCTTGTATGTTTATTTTACTTTGGATGTTTCTGTATCTCTGAGTTGGTTTCTGGGTTTTCTCATCATGTCTGTTAATCATTGGATGTTGTCTACTATTGTTGGTTTTCTGTCTCAAGGACTCTGTTTAGCATCTCTTGTAAGATTGATCTGGTTTTTACAAATTCCCTTAATTTCTGTTTATCTGGAAATTTCTAATTTCACCATCATATTTGAGGGACAGTTTTGGTGGATATATAATTCTTGGTAGGCAGTTATTTTCTTTCATGGTTTTATGTATGTCATCCCATTACCTTCTCACCTGTGTGGTTTCTGCCAAGAAATCAAAGCTTAGTCTTATTGGTTACCCTTTGTAACAGGTAACATTCAGTTTTTCCCATGCTGCTTTTGGGATTCCTTCTTGTCTTTGGTTTTGGTGATTTTGTTTTGAGGTCTATCCTGTTATGAATAGAGGTTTATTGAACTTCTTGAATGCATATCATCATATTAGGGAAATTCTCTTCCAAGAAGTCTTTGACAATTTTCTCCATGGTTTTATTTGTCTCTTCCTGTTCTGGAGTTACAATCACATGTTAGGTTATTCCTCTTCATGGTGTCCCACATAGATCTTAGGCTTTCTTCTCCTTTTTCTTCTTTTTTTTTTGGTTCTTTTTTTCTGATTGTTCCTTAACAAAGTAATAGTGAGAGATTTGTCTTCAGTCTCACTAATTCTGTCTTCCATTGCTTCCGTTCTACTCCTTTGCCCTTTCAATGTGTTACTATTTCTGAAATCTTAGTATTAATCTTGTGGATGTCTATTTGCTCTTTTTATATTGCTTCTAATTTTTCATTTAATTTATCACTCTGTTCTTGTGTTGTTTTCCTAAATTGTTCTAGAGTTTTGTCTGTGTTTTCTTTAATTTCATCAGTGTTTTCCTCGATCTGTCTCTTAGTCTGTTGAAGGTTCTTAAATATAATTCTTTTGAATTCCTTATCAGGTGGTTCCAATGCCACTTCTTCCTCAAGGAGGTTTTCTAGCTCTGTATTCTGGTCCCATGTCTATACCACTTTATCTAGCTTCTTTGTGTGAAGTGGGATTGTTATCTCTGAGACATTGTGATGTTGTTGTATTTATATTTAATTGGTGATTGTATGTTGGTGTGATTCACCCAGTGTTTTTTTGTTTTGTTTTATTTTGATACTTCCATGCGACAGGTTGGTGTGCTACTCTATTTGCTAGTTGACAGCACTTAGGCACTAAGCACCTGCCTCCTGGTGGGTGTGATAGAGGATGAGAATGTGTGTACAGATCTCTGTTAGCTGTTCGTGTAGAGAAGTTGAGAGAGGGTTGGGCTGGTGTTGGCTGCCATCTATCCTTGATCAGTTGGTGCTGAAGCAGATGGTGGCCCTTGCCCGTGGGTGGGACTGCAGGAGGTACAGATGTCATTGAGTCATACGGGCATGGTTGTTTTCTGGTCATCAGCCATCAGCGCAGTCCTTGACAAACGGAGCCAGTTACCAGGTTGCTGCCCAGATTGGAACACCACTTGCAAGTATTCGAAATGGTTATGCTATCAGGCCTGTTGACAGTCCACAACTCCTTTTCTTTCTTTATTTGCTGTTTTCATTCAGGTTCTTCTGCTAGTTGGCATTTAATCCACTTCTTTGTCTTTCCCTTTGAAACTCAGGGCTCCAGGATTATCTTTCATATTTATTTCAATTGGTTTCTCGTTTCTTTGTTGTAGAGAGTCTGTGTAGCTTATCTGCCTATTCTACCATCTTGCCAGAAGTCTCTAAGAAGCCATTTTTAAAATATGACCACATAGTCATTCATAAACTTAAGATTCCTTCCATGGTACCTATTTTCTCTGGTTGATCATAGGGCCAACAGCATGTTCTTACTGCATTTTCTTCTTCCCATTGGCAGATTTGGAGTTAAATGGGTTGGAGTCCGGAAATGGGGATGAGGACATAGTGGATCGAGAACCGCGGCGCTTGAGCAGTAGGCGTTCTGTCCTCACTAGCCCTGTAGCCAATGGGGTCAACCTGGATTATGATGGACTGGGCAAAGCCTGCCGAAGTCTTCCAAGTCTGAAGAAAACCTTGTCTGGTGACTCATCCTCTGACTCTAGCCGGGGTTCCCACAATGGCCAAGTGTGGGATCCCCAGTGTAGCCCCCGAAAGGACAGGCAGGTACATCTGACCCACTTTGAGCTTGAAGGCCTTCGCTGCCTTGTAGATAAGTTGGAGTCTCTGCCTCTGCACAAGAAGTGTGTCCCTACAGGGATAGAAGACGAAGACGCCCTCATTGCGGACGTAAAGGTAAGGGCTTGTGTTGAGTGACAGCTAATGATCTTGTTAGGGTTAGAGGGAGAAAGTACAGAAATTTGGATTATCTTTGATTCATCCAGAGAGAAGCCAGTATGTGCATGTATGTGTTGTGTTGCTCAGTGTTTCATTTCCTGGAATGAGGTTTCTCATTGTGAAAATACTAATTTGTATGTTCAGTTAGGACTTCAGTTCTAAAAACAGATTTCGAGCTGACCCCCCCACCCCCCAAACAAAGGAGAGCTGGATAAAGTGTTTGCAGTAAAGAAATACTGTTTTCAACTTGAGTTACTCACAGATAAAGAGGCCTATTTCAGGGCAAAAGTGGCTGATAAAAGTCTCTAGCAGTCTCCCCCCAAGTAGATTGAGAGGAAAGAAGTTGTTCTGTGTTAGGCTTTGGGCCCACATAGGTTTAGCATCTTTAGTTACAAATTTATCTAGTATTAAGACTTAAATACATGGTATCAACTTCTGAGAAAAGTATCATTTCAAGCATAATCCATCCTCTTGCTCCATCAAGTTTCTTCATTTTGTGTTTTTCATTGCTTATAACCCTCACAGCTGAGCCCACATCTTGTTGGTCTCAAGGAATGATTTTATTTGTATGAAATCCAGGCTTAAGCTGAATTGTAGAGAGTTTGTTCTTTAAAGTCTTTCCTCATAAGTGACTGTTAATGTGAACACCAAAAAAGGTAGAGTTGGGAATCTAATTTTCTCTTTAAATCAGCTGGGTGTTTGGAACTATGTCTTGGCTGCAGGCCATTACTGTGTATCAGAAGGCTAGTCCACAATTTGGAATTCGTGTTACTTAAAAAAAAAAAAAAAAAAGTTACATAGATTATTTTAAGTCACAGAAGAATTTATACGGAATAATTTTATGTGACCTCAAAGAAGATGGACTAAATGTATTACAGAAGATCCCTTCCATCCCTGGTTTCTGGTCCAGGTTTTCCTTGGCTACCATATAATCATTGGAGGTACTTCCCCGCCTCTGCCAGCCTCTTCAGGATATAGAGTTCCAAAGATGAATGTGACACAAGCTTACTTAGCTGCAATTAACATTTAAAATTTTATTTTTATGACTGGCATTTTAATTATATCTTACAGGCATTACCTCGTTTTATTGCACTTCACTTTGTTGTACTTTGCGGATGCTGAATGTTTTTTACAAATTGAAGGTTTGGGGCAACCCTGCATCCAGCAAGTCTGTGGGTGCCATTTTTCCAACAGATGTGCTCACGTTATGTTTCTCTGTCACATTTTGGTTATTCTTACAGTATTTCAGACTTTTTCATAATGCTGTTGCACACTTAATAGACTACAGTATAGTGTAAATAAAACTTTCATAAACACTGGGAAACCAAAAAAGTTGGTGTGACTGGCTTTCTTGCAGTACTCACTTTTTTGAGGTAGTGTGGAACTGAACTTACAGTATCACCAGTGTGTGCCTGTATATTGTTTACACATCATTGAAACACTCTAAAACGAAGGAGATAAAAAAAAAGTACCGGTACTCTGGTGAGCTAGGGCCCCTTCAGTAGTGATAGTAGCTGGACATTTGGCTGTAGTTTGTTTTTATAAAGTTTGCTCTAGAAGAAGCAGATGGTGTCAACTACGGCTTATATTTAAGGGAAGAAATGACAAAGTTCCAACTAAGTGTGGTCTTATTTCTATAATGATTAATATGCAACAAGACAAACTTGTTGTTCTTAGGTACCATCAAGTCATCTCCTACTCATAGTGACCATGTGTACTCAGAATAAAACACTGCCTGGTCCTGCACTGTGCTCACAGTTGTTGCTATGTTTGAGCCCATTGTTGTAGTCACTGTGTTAATTCATCATGTTGAGTGTCTTTTTTTCCTCTTTTTCGCCTGTCCTCTACTTTACCAAGCATGATCTCCTTCTCCAGGGACTGGTTTCTCCTGATAACATGTCCAAAGCACGTGAGATGAAGTCTTGCCATTCTTGCCTCTAAGGAGCATTCTCACTGTACTAGTTCCAAGACAGATTTGTTCATTCTTCTGGCAGTCCATGGTATAGTCAATGTTCTTCACCAGCATAATTCAAGGCATCGATTCTTCAGTCTACTTTACTCATTGTCCAGTTTTCCCATGTAATATGAAGTTATTGAAGAGACCCATGACTTGAGTCAGGCACACCTTAGTCCTCAAAGTGACATCTTTGCTTTTTAACACTCTAAAGAAGTGTTTTGCAGCAGATTTGCCCAAAGCGATACACTGTTTAATTTCTTGAGTGCTGTTTTTGTGAGTGTTGATTGTGGATCCAAGTAAAATTAAATCCCTAACAACTTGAATCATTTCTCCATTTATCATGATGTTGCTTATGGGTCCAATTACGAGGACTTTCGTATTCTTCACATTGAGGTATAATCCATACTGAAGGCTGTTGTAGTCTTTGATTTTTATCAATAAATGTTTCAAGTCCTCTTCACTTTCCAGGAGCAAGGTTGTTATCATCTGCATATCACATGTGGTTAATGACTCTTCTCCAAACCTGATACTGCATTCTTCATATTGTCCAGCGTCTTGGATTATTTGTTCAGCATACAGATTGAGTAAGTAGGGTGAAAGGATACAACCCTGACACACACTTTTTCTGATTTTAAACCCTGAAGTATCCCCTTGTTCTGTTTGAATGACTGGCTCTTTGTCTGTATACAGGTTTCCACATAAGTATAATTAAGTATTCTGGAATTCTCCTTTTTATCAATGTTTTCCATGATTTGTTATGATCTGCATGGGTTGAACACCTGTGCAAAGTCAATAAAACACAGGTAAAACATCTTTTTTATATTCTCTTCTTTTAGCCAGAATCCATCTGACATCAGCAGTGATATCCCTGTTCCACATTTTCTTCTGATTCTGGCTTGGATTTCTGGTAGTTTCTTGTTGATGTACTGCTGCTACTGTTCTTAAATTATCTTCAGCAAAAATTGACTTGTATGTGATATTAATGATATTGTTCAATAATTTCTACCTTCTGTTGAGTCACCTTTCTTTGGAATGGGCACAAATAGGGATCTCTTCAATTCATTTGGCCAGAGAGGTGTCTTTCTGCCTTCCAGATTTCTTGGCATAGACGAGTGAGTACTTCTAGCATTGCATCTGTTTGCTGAAACATCTCAATTGTTGGTACATCAATTCCTAGAGCATTGTTTTTTGCCACCTTTTGTACCTTCAGTGCATCTTGGACTTCTTCCTTCAGTATTGTTCATCAGTTCTTGATCATATGCTGCTACTTGAAATAGTTGAATGTTGACTAGTTCTTTTTGGTATGGTGATTCTCTATTCCTTCCATCTTCTTTTGATGCCTCCTATGTTATTCAGTATTTAGCCCATAGAATCCTTCAGTATTCCAAGTCATGCCTTGAGATTTTTTCTTCACTTTTTCTTCTTTGAGCTCTTCTGCTTTATCGTTCTTCCCTTCATTTTGTCTGCTCATGTTCAAGAGCAAGTTTCAGAGTCTCTTTTGACATAAGTTTTGGTCTTTTCTTTCTTTTCTGTCTTTTTCATGATCTTTTGCTTTCTTCATGTATGATATCTTTGATGTTGTCCTACAGCTCATCTGGTCTTCTTTCGTTAGTATTCAGTGCATCAGATCTACTCTTGAGATGGTATCTAAGTTCAGGTGAGATATATTCAAGGTCATACTTTTTCTCATGGACTTGTTTTAATATTCTTCAGCTTAACCTTGAATTTGCATACAAGCAATTGATGGTCTATTCTGCAGTCAGCCCTTGGTCTTATTCTGACTGATAATATTGAACCTCTGCATCATCTCTTTCTACAGCTTTAGTCAATTTAATTTGTGTGTCGTCTATCCTGAGAAGTCCACGTGTATGTTGTTGTTGTTAGGTGCTATTAGTCTGCTCGACTCATAGTGACTGTACGACAGGACGAAACCCTGCCCAGTTCTGCACCAGCCTCACAGTCCTTGCTGGAGCCCATGTTGCAGCCACTAGGTCAGCCCACGTCCTTGAGGCTTTTACCCTTTTTGGCTAACCCTTTACTTTACCAAGCATGATACCCTTCTCTAGGCACTGGTCCCTTCTGACAACATGACCAAAGTAAAAGAGACCAAGTCTGGCCATTCTTGCTTCTGAGGAACATCCTGCTGCACTTCTTCCAGGACAGATGTGTTTGTTCTAGCAGTCCGTGGTGTTTTCAGTATTCTTTGCTAACACTACAATTCAAAGGCATCTACTGTTCTTTGGTCTTCCTTACTCATTGTCCGGCTTTCACATGTATGTGAGGCAATTGAAAACACTGTGGCTTGATCAGGCACACCTTATTATCAAAATGACATCTTTTCTCTTTAACACTTGGGAGAGAGCTTTTCAACCAGATTTTCCCAGTGCAGTACGACATCTGATTTCTTGACTGCTGCTTCTATGGGTGATTGATTATAGATCCGAGTACTATGAAATCTTTGACAACTTCAGTCTTCTCTCCATTTATCATGATGTTGCTTACTGGTACAGTTGTGAGCATTTTTGTTTTCTTTATGTTGAGGTGTAATGCATAATGAAGACTGGACTGTAGTCCTTGATTGTCATCAATAAGTGCTTCAAGTCATCTTCACTTTCAGCGGGCAAGGTTGTATCATCTGCATATTGCAGATTGTTAATGAGTCTTCCCCCAGTCCTGATGCAGCGTTCTTTATGTAGTTCAGCTTCTCGGATTATTTGCTCAGCATCCACAGGTATAATCACTGTTTATGTTGTTGGAAAAAAAATATTTGCGGTGAGTCATTGGTCTTGCCAAATTCCATCATGCCATCTCTGACATAATTTCTGTCATCAGGGTCATATTTTGCAACTACTAATCCTTCATTTCTAACTTTCACATTCTAATCACTGGTAGTTATCAGTACATCTTGATTGTGTCTTTGATCAATTTCAGACCATAGAAATTAGTAACAGTCTTTCATTTTTTCATCTTTGGCATTAGTTGTGCCTAAATTTGAAGAATA